AAACTCAACAAGGCTCAGTGGTTCACAAAGGTCGACGTATGCTCAGGATACAACAACATCCTGATACACCCTGACGACAGGTGGAAAGCCGCGTTCTCCACCTCATATGGGCTCTTCGAGCCCAAGGTAATGTTCTTTGGACTGTGCAACTCTCCCACGACTTTCCAAGCTTACATGAACCAGACTTTTGCAGAAGAACTGAACGAAGGATGGCTAATCGTCTATATGGACGACATCCTAATCTTTTCAGACAATCTGGACGAACACCGACAACGGACCCGTCGTGTGTTGGAAAAACTCCGCAAGGAGTCCCTCTTCCTCAAACCCAAGAAATGCACCTTCGACTCCCAGGAAGTTGAATATCTCGGTATGATCATCCGACCAGGACAGGTCGCCATGGACCCCGCCAAGCTAAAAGGTATTAGCGAATGGCAGCAACCCTTGTCTGTCAAGGATGTACGATCCTTCCTCGGGTTCTGCAACTTCTACTGGCACTTCATCCCCCACTACTCTGACATCGCATGACCTCTTCTGGACCTCACCAAGAAGGAAGTCCCCTTCGCATGGTCAGACCCAGCCGAAGCGTCCTTCCAGCACCTAAAGACGCTCTTTACCATGGAACCGGTCCTGCGGAACCCTGACTCTTCGCATCAGTTTGCGCTTGCAACTGATGCATCCCTCTTTGCGACCGGAGCAGTATTGCTCCAGACGGATAGCAACGGGGATTACCACCCCTGTGGCTACCTTTCCCAGTCTCTGAACGCGGCGGAATGCAACTACGAGATCTATGATCAGGAGCTCCTCGCCATCATCCGTGCCCTCCAAGCTTGGAGGCACTTCTTAGAAGGGAACGCCCACCCAGTCATTGTGTTCACAGATCACAAGAACCTGATCTACTTCCGCTCTGCCCAGCGACTCACCCGACGACAGGCCCGGTGGCACCTCACGCTCACCAATTTCGACCTGGAACTACATCATGTTCCTGGTATGAAACTCGCTGCACCAGATGCCTTGTCCCGACGGCTGGACCACGACCAGTCTGGCCACGATAACGAAGACCGTGTCCTCCTCCCGGACACCCTCTTCACCCGTCTTATCGATACCGAGCTCGCTGATGAATTCCAGCGGCTCTCAGACGACCCCTCCGACCAGACTGTGAAAACAGCTCTGGACGCTCTTTCCGGGGTGTGCGCACCTCCAATGAAATCTGCGCTCTCTGACTGGAGGTTCACCAATGGTGTCCTCTTTTACAAAGATCGTGCTTACGTCTCCCCCGACCTCCGGCATCGTGTGCTTGCGCTGCACCACGATCATCCTACCGCGGGTCACCCCGGCCGTTCTGTTACTGAATGGAACATCAAGAAAGCTTACTGGTGGCCTGGCATGGGCTCCTTTATCCGAAAATACGTGGACGGCTGCGCCATGTGCCAGCAAATGAAGGTTAACACCCACCCGACGACCCCCCCCCCTGACCCCTATACCCTCGACTTCTCTCTGGCCCTTCTCTCAGGTCTCTGTCGACCTGATTACTGATCTCCCGGAGAGTGCCAGCTACGATTCCATCATGGTCGTGGTAGACCATGGGCTTACGAAGGGGGTAATTCTCTGCCCTTGCAGAACAACCATCACTGCGGAAGGCGTAGCTGAACTTTTCTTCAAGAAAGTGTTCATGCGCTTTGGACTCTACGACAAGATCATCTCAGACCAAGGCCCTCAATTCGCCTCGAAACTAGCAAGAGAACTAGGACGACTTCTCGAATACCAAGTCGCACTTTCCACTGCCTACCATCCTCAGACGGATGGCCAGACCGAACGGCTCAACCAAGAGCTAGAAACCTACCTCCGGATCTACTGCCGGACGACCCCCTCCGAATGGGCAAGGCACTTACCCATGGCCGAGTTTGTCCACAACTCCTGAAGACACTCTGCCAGGAACGCCTCCCCGTTCTTCCTGATGATGGGATATGAGCCACGAGGCATTCCCCATCTCTTCCCCGACTCTACCCTACCAACCACCAAAGAACGTGTCAAATCCCTCGCCAAGATCCGTGAGGAAGCCCTCGCATGTCACAGCCTTGCACAGCAACGCATGGCTGATCGTTCCTTTGGCCAGCGTTACAAGCCATGGAACGTTGGTGATAAAGTTAGGCTATCTGCCACGAATCTGATCACCGGGTTCCCTTCTCGGAAACTCACCCCGAAACGATATGGACCCTTCCCAATCCAGAAGGTCCTCTCTCCCATCACATTCCAGCTCAAACTGCCTGACAGCTGGCGTATCCACCCCACGTTCCATGCCTCGGAACTTTCTTCCTATCAGGAGACGGATGTGCATGGCCCGAATTTCACTGAACCTCCCCCTGACCTGATCGATGGGGAGGAACACTATGAAGTGGAAGCTATCCTCCAACACAAGGGTACCGGTGCGCACTGCCGATACCTCATGTCATGGGTAGGCTATCCACCCTCCGAATGAACGTGGCTCCCCGAAAAAGAGTTGAAGTCCGCAGTGGAGCTGCTGAAGGCGTATAAGAAGCGACTCAAGATCGCTTCAATCGCCATCAACTGTTGATCTGTTACCACCATTGCCCCTCTACAAGAACGACACCGCGACCACAGGACCAAGCGGTTCCACACCAAGGCCCATTACTCCACCTCCCCTCGCAACAAACCCTTGCCCCAGACCCCTGAATACTTCCATCGACAACAGATCCATAACCGACATTGTGCCACTAAACCCCTCGACAAGCATCGTCCCGTCACCCAAGAATTTACCTATGCCAATACCCAAGGAAAGCCCCTCAAATATGTCGGCTTCAGCATCGTCGCTTTCCTCTCCCCTCTCCGCTTCCTCTCCTGCATCTGTATACAGCCCGACCCAGATGCCCCGACAACCGCCTGGCCTTGAAAGGCCCACCTACACCCCGTACCGATGACCCTCCCTGTGCTCTGTCCAAGAAGACAGGACGCGCACCTACTGGGAAGCAGTAATCTGCGACCCTCAGTATGCCCTCCACATTGACAACTACCTCGCCCGCACCAACGATGATGTCACCTACAATATCATCAACGCCTTCAGAGGTGCGGATGCCCTTACTGGCGACATCACCAGGATCAATCTCCAGAGGGATACCACCATCTCCACCATCTCCACCCGCTACAACCAGGGTAAAATCAAGCAGGCGCTACTGAACCTGCTCGAACTTAGGAACTTCCAGTCAGTTGTTCTGGCTGTCGAGGAGGAGCGGGCATTTAATCACCCTCCCGACCCTGTCGCCGTCATTGAGCGTGCTGTCAGTGACAGAGCTCCGACTCCCTTCCTTCCGCAACCATCCATCGAAACCGATGATGAACACGTCCCCAACGTCACTCAGCTGACAAACCCCGAAATCGACCGCCTCTATGAGGAATACGAACGCGAGTGTTATGCGCCACGTAACCCCACCCCCGAGGCGGACACTATTGTCTTCCTTGAAGTACACAACTCCCCTGTCACCATCCCCGAAGCAGATGAATCCCATCCTGCTCCCACCATCGCCCCCAACGACTTCGTACCCACTCGGGACGTACCCCCTTTGACCATTGGTTCTCTAATTGAGAACCCAAACCCCCTTCCTTCCCCACGACGCCGTGGACGACGCACGCGTATGCAATCCGTACTCTCCCTCGGACTCCCCCTCTCCCATGCACATCACCCACGCACCCAGAACTTTACGAGGCACTACACCCATGAAGACGCTCAGGGCGACGCTCTGAACCGTGCCCGCATTGAGGCCACCGAGACCACCCAGATCTATCATTCCAACGTGATCTGTCGCCAATGCCATGTATATGGCCATAAACAGAAGCACTGCGCTCAGTACTTCTGCCGCATCTGTGGGCAATTTGCCCCAAAACACCTCACCCCCTTCTGTCCACAACTCGATGGACGAAAACTGCTGCGCCGGGGACCCTCCTCGGACAGATTCTATTCTGATATGCGCAGGCTTGAAGCAGCGTATGATCACGAAGCTGCCCGCATCGAACAAGAACGCGAGGAGAATGCACTCGAGGCCGCTGAATGGCTTGCCGACCTCAACTTCGATCCTAGCTGGTACGACAACCAGGATGATTAAGCTCGTTGAGCTTGAGCCTTGAAACGGGGGTAATGTTACAAGTAACATCGGTCACGTGGCCCCCCTATCATTTTCCCTTCATCCTCGCCCTCACCATCTACCGGCTCGCCCTCCTTTACCGACTTTCCGTTAACCGGATCCTCAGGACCGTTCCCGTCCCTTGCATCGCCCGCCTCTACGCACGTGCATGCACGTTCCTCCCTGATTCAACCACCAATGTGGTCCCGCACCTATGACTCGGTCTGACTCGTGCCACCAATGTGGCTTTCCTCTTTCTGTTCCTTCTGACTGCAGATTCCCGCACATTGTATTTGTACCGTTGGTCCGTCCCAATGTTTCTTGGTCTCATTCCACATTCGACCATCCATCACTAATCCGGCTCTGTTGCCAACGCACCTATACCATTCTCGTTTACCCTTTACCCTTACCTACTGTGCGGTAGCCTTGCCCTTAACCCTCTCCACTTAGTATAAGTAGTCAGTCACCCTGTATTAGATTCTCTAACTTGAATCTACTCAATCTTCCCTGGAACATACTTCCCTCTGAACGCCCCTTTGGCTTCAGTCTCTAGTATCTTTTCTTAGTTGCTCATTGCGACTAAGTCTACCTTGATCGACCTCATCGTTCGGACAAGACAGTCCTAACCTTGAGCGATTCCAAAGACATCCATCTTAGAAGTCACGTGACATGCGCGTACTGTGATCACTGCCGACTCGTCGTCGCCAGTCTCACTTGCTATACCGGATCCTTCCGGTTACGTCACGAACGTTAGCGGACGACGCCCCTCTTAGGGCTCCGCCTAACAGATCTATTTGAGTGCGTAACAGATGGAGCATACAGCTAGATCTGGCCACCGCAAAGCATGGCTTTGAAGCAGCGCTGCTTATGTGCGGGAAGGTCGTGAATCAAGATGCATCAATCGGGTACATACACACGACCTCTGGTGCAGAAGAGGTAATTTTTAATCATCGGTGTATCATAGGCCTTGCTGACTGCGTGTTCTCGTAGTTTTGGGCTTCCCGTTGTCGTGCCGATGAGGACACGATGGTGGGGCATTTTAAGGCCCATGTGTAGTAAGTCAATTATATTTTCACCTCAATACTTCAACTGACTTCTTTTTCAGCCACCAGGCTTCTCTTGCCATTGTCGAGGACGTTTACAGTGAGGCTCAGCTCAAACCTTCAGAAAAGAAAATAGCATTGCCTGGGCGACACGTGTGCGCGCCAGCGGTAGCAGAAGAGGATGACGAGGTACAGGAGGTTCCCGACAATCTCGATTGGAAGACACTGGCCGACCACATACAATGTATCAAAGTCGGCATGACCTCGATGTTCAGTAAGCTCAGCGGGAAATTAATGGCACGGTCAGGAACTTTTCCATGGAAACTATTACCCGCCGAGCTGGCGCGTCACCGTTTTGTGATGAGAGGGTATCCTGAAGACATGTTAATGCCGGGAGAGCCACGCGTAACGGTTGCACGACCCAAAGGCATCAGCGACCTTGATAAACGTGAACATGTCGTACTTGCAGATGCCTTGCGATCAGGCAGATTGACCATCGAACGACAAAAGATGGGAGACTTGAGTACGTGCGAATCAATTCAATTCTCATATGGCTAACTAATCATTTTATAGACAAAACATCTCCTATTATATTCGGCGAGGCTCCTCCTGAAGAGTCCATGCATGCACGCGGTCGTCGCATGCTTGTAGATGGCACCATCGATCGTGAGGGATTGGCCCATCTTGGACCAAGTGCAGCGGGCACAAAGGTCCAGAAGCCCCCGACACGCAAGGAAGCAGCTTCCCATCGTCATGCATCCCCCGTTCTCGTGAATGACCAGTCTCCACAACCACAGACAATCCCTTGCAAGCAGAAGCTCGTCCCGATTGTTGAGCTCCGTAAGTGTCCTCCTCCATGTCCACTGAAGGCAACCAGAAAGAAGACATCCATACCAGCAGCACGCGAGGTCACTCCCATCGACATGTCCAGCGCACAGGCCAGCTTGGAGTCAGACGCCGAGGATGAGTTGAAGGAGGACCAAGACCCTGTTGAGGGTGACGACTCGGAGTATGATGATGAAGTCGCCACCTCTCGTAAACGCAAGGTCAAGGCATCTAGAGGCTCTCGCTCACAGAAACGACGTGTCCTATCAAGCGATGTTGAAGTCATTGAACCGTCATGCGATGAGAGAAAAGAGGTCAAGGGAAAGGGCAAAGCGACTCACCAGGGCACTGGCAAAGGGCAGAAGACTGCAAAGAAGGTGCGTTATCGCTCAGTCACAGTGGAATCAGACTTGGGGCAGGAGAAAATGCCTGGTAAGCAAGGCTTTCATATGTCATCCTGTTGTACTGATCAATATCTCTTTCAGAAATTGAGCCGTTACGCCTTTGTGATGGCCCAGAGCAGCCTTTGAAGGCACCAATTCAATGTGGTGAGTCCGAATGATGACTTACATGCTGGACTTTGGCTGATGACTCTTATTTAGAGCGCCCCAAGCCGAAGAAGATTGTTCCAGGTTCTGAGGAAGCTGCCCGTCAAGCTGCTGTATACATCGAGGGTATGCGAGGAACAAATGCCACCAATGATGGAGGTTCTGGCGTCAACGGGAGTTCTGACACCAATGGAAGTTCTGACACCAACGGGGGTTCTGACCTTGCCATGCAGCCGATGTTGAGACCTGTCCAAGCCCGCCTCCCGGGCCCACGTGGCATCCAAGAATGGGCCCTCGTGCTACCACCATCATCAAGTGACTCCATGGATGCAACGTCACATGTTCATGCTGTGTCTCAGTTCCAAGTCTCACAAAATCGTCATTATCCTCAGGCTGATCAGCGCCACATCGAGCCGATAAACTATTATCAACACGGCAACCAGCCTGGTCAGCATCGCGAGCAGATAGACTATCAACGTGTCAGCAACAACCAGCCGCAATATCGTCAAGACATGATGTACACACATCATCCCACACCCTATGCGGCTCAGCCTGAAGCTCGTGAAGGCAGAGCTGGAGGGTACCGTGAAGGCAGTGGACCATCTGGAGCCTCAGAAGCCTCTTACCAGGACTCGAGGAGCTATCGCAATGATACTCGGCCCATGTACCCCCAAGATGCTGTCTCTCGTCAAGAGTCTCATTACCCAATCTACGCTGACAATGCTCTTAACTTACCCTACTCGTCATCTCCAGCTCCTTCTGAAGACGGCTACATGAGTGGGGCTCCATATTGATTGTGAGTACATCAACAGCACCATAATTCGTCTTGCGCATCTTTGTCATCTTGCTTCTTGCCTAAAGATATTAACGCATGTATCTATTCACATTCCTGGTGCCATCCTTACTTTTGATCCTGTGTGCTCGATGTTTCTGCATCTCACTCGTGCTTGCTTTGATCGGTAGTACTTAACTGCCTTCGATGATAGTTTACATTTGTATTTCCTATTCTGATAAATCAGAAGTGTCTGGTTGAACAAACATACTTCAGAAGTTCGCAAGGCGATCAGGATAAAAATAAATTGTTCAAGAAAAAAGCTGCTTGAGTCAAGTGATTGTAGTTACAGGGACACTCGAACTCTCCTCCCGTGCCACCTCGTCAACGAAAACTCCATGTTTTCGTCAAGGTACCAGTTCCCCCATCCTCCTGGAGATTGCATGCAACAAGGCAACGCTCGAAGGAGGCATCATCGAGGACGACACAGAATTACAATGGTATGTTGCAGAGTATGTATCAGTAATGTCCATGTCTGTGAGCCCCCTGAGCCTTGCAACCCTCGCAGAGACCCTCCATTCGACTCTCGCAGACCTCTGGGCTCCTCCTCGCTGGAGGTTCTACGAAATGCACTACGGTCCTAAACAGGATCTGAGGGGAGGCCTCCCTGTGGAGGTAGGCTTTCAGGCAGATTACTACCTACAACGAAACCCACCCTGACAGGCTCTCGGTACCTTTTCCAAGTGGTGCCAAGGGTGGGAAAGAAACGGACAAGAAAAATGGATCGCTTGAGTGCTGTTTATGATCACGTGCCTTGAGATCGGACCTTTCCTTTTTGAACTTTGAATCAACTTGCACTGGTGACGGGCGCTCGTAGAATGAGTTTAGGGCAAGCGGGGCCCTCCAGCTCAATGCTCAGAGGACCCGCAATCAATTTAAGCATCGAGAAGTGACAGCTCCTACTACATGAAACAGAATCCTCGAACTTGTGTAGATGCTAAGTATCTTAATCAAATCTTCTGCTATCCCTGACACTGAGAAGGGGACTGATTCACGCGTGCATTAGTACCTCTTGGTACCATTCGCGAACGTGACTTCCACTGCATCTTTGCTTTGCTCAAATTCAATGGCTTGATGGCCCCACTTGATCTCGACGCCATGCTTTTGGGCCGTGTCGATTAAAAGCTGTTGAAACTCTGGGCGCCGCACTCCAATATCGGGAAAGCCAAATCGTTCTCGCATCGTCGCTGGAAATATCGCTAATAGTGGTAGTCCATCTTTCTTTTCAATGGGTGCATTGTTCTCTGCGATGCCGCTGGTCTTGATAGGAATACGAGGCTGCGCTCTTATCGGCAACTTCCCTAACGCCCAGCTCTTGGTGTCTAAGAACCTCGTTCTCTGGATTTAAGCGGAATGTGGTGTATGCGAACTCACAAAGGGTCATGCAAGCGATGTCGTTTGTGGCATATCACATGGTGAGCAGTAACTCGAGGGGTGTTGGCGGCAAGACCACATGATGGTGGCGAGAAGAGAAGGAACACTCCACGAATACACGAGTAAGTATGTCGATATTGAGGCTTGCCAAAACTGATGACCGTTGAAGTGGCCTCTGCTGACTGGTACTAGTTTCAAGTTTCAACTAATATTGATATTCGGTTCATTCATGACGAGACGGCGAGGGTCCAGGCGACGAACGTTCTAGCAGTTACCGATGGTACTGGAACAAATACTTCAGCTTTCAACCATTAATAGGTAACATAAGGTCCTCACAAGATTTAGCCTAGCAGTTATTTGACACTTCCGTCGCGACCTGAAGCTGAATTGCTTGGATATGACAAAGGAGGAGAAAGAGAGCACCATCCGTGTCGTTGCAACTCGGAACAGGTGTGTTTAATTGTGCCGGAACCGAGCTGTATATGTGAGCGCTTGAGCAGCTGCTGACACGGCTTTCCTCTACCGATTGAATAGAGCTCGGCTTGCGAAGCAGGGTGACCGGATCCAATGAAACCATCGCATTCACTCGAAGACATTACTATGTGGAGAACCGGAGGGAACGAGAAAGCTGTCAGGGATTTGCGATATGTGGGGAGCAGTACCAAACGAAATGGACAAGGATAATGCCTTGAAAGGTCCGTGGCTGTGCCGCTTCATGTCGTTTGAACAACAGTTTTGGTCACGTGGAATGGCAGGAGGGCACCAGACGGCGGGAGGGCGCAAGAAAGCGAGCGGCGGGTGGGATGAGACGGAAAGGATGTCGATGTCAACAAGCGAAGGGGATGCATTAGCATGAAAAGTAAAGGGTGCTACAATTGCAACAATGATGCATCGATGGAGCGCTACAGTTAGTAAGTTACAGTGTGTGATGCATCAATATGGCACGAACCTATGAGCTTGGGATGGTGAACCAGCTCCGGACGATGAAAATGATGAGTGCAAGATTGCGAGCGCAACTATGATGGAATTAATACATAGTATGTTGAATGTTCAACGTTCAGTGCCGTTGTCGCGGAACTTACCCGTCGAAGTTTCCATATTTGGATGGATGCAATAGATGGTAGCAGACTCAAGTATCAATGACAGGAGCACTATTAGGCTCTTGACGAAGGTAACCGTCCTGGGCATGATGAAGGATTAAGTGAGGATTAAAATTGCGGTAGGTAGGACTGATGGTAGCAGACTCAAGTATCAATGACAGGAGCACTATTGGGCTCTTGCCGAAAGTAGCCGTCCTGGGCATGATGAAGGATTAAGTGAGGATTAAAATTGCGGTAGGTAGGACTTAAGTAGGTAGGTCACAAGCGATGACGATGTTGCAACTTATGATGTCATGTGCGGATGACACATTATTTATGGCAATTCTTGGTAACAATTGCACCAGCCAAACATCGTTCTTTGATCCGAAACGACGTGCATCGTCAAATTATTCGTCTTATCCCCAGACACCCGTTCCGAGCGTCGCTTCGACCTCCATGTAATGCCGTACCAGGTCTTGCGCTCCAGCTCTCAGCAGCGCCTCCGACTACAATAGTGATTGCCTGACCTGGGCCGCTGGAGAGAATGTTAGAGCAAGATTCCCGCGCCCTCTGCTTGTCAACTTGAGGAGACAAGAAGCAGTAAGTTCGGAATCGAATGAGTACTCTAGAGACTGAGAGTAGGAGTGAAACATCACTAGACCTGTGATAGCTTGCAAGTGACGCAGTCCATGGAGCAATGATGTTACGTTTGTCACCTTTTTACATACACATATGGAACCTGGCCTTAGAGCTTAAGGTTAGACGAGAGTTTGCGTCCTAATGCTCGGTGCTGAGGTTGGACGAACCTGACGCCTCTGTCATGCTAGTAAATTCAAGGATGTCACACGTAGAGCGTGCGCTGACTTTTAACGTTGACGATTGAAATTTTCCAGGGAGCTGAAGTGGAACCTTCTGAATCTGATCAGTGGAAAGGACTGAGGCGGCATGTCCCAGCGATATGAGTGAATCAGAGCAATTTAAACCTCGTTCAACGATCAGATGCCAGTCCCAGGGAAATCAACATTCTTTACATACGTCTGGCATTAAACAGAGTGCGCTCATCTCCAGGTCCCCGGGTCATGATTTTTATCATCGAATCCAAGCAAGACACGCAGCTCTCGTTGCAGTGCTTAAATTTCGACTACCCCAGCCTAAGGGTTTTAGTACCTATAACGACATGTCACTAATAAATGGGATCATTGCAATTTTTCCTTACCGTGATGTTTTTTTGCGTTAAACATCCATCAGCTTCGATATTGAACGGTTTGGGCCTGCAGGCTGAGAGATTTGGCTTAGAACCCAACAAGGGTTTCGGAGAGTGTTCGATTCGGGCTGGAAGAACGGTTTCTTTTATAGGCTGTGCGGAAGGCTCGGAGTGTTGGAAGCAGATTAATATTACTTGTAAGTTGGCTTAGCTGCTTACTCTGATCTTAATAAATCAATGATCGATGATGGGAGTTGCGTTACAAGCTGCAAAGCCGATGACAGCTCCACTTCCACCGTATTATGATCATGTGACTGGTATTTTCGCCTCTCTGGCACGTGAAGTATATATTCTAGTATCATGATGTTGTAGTCATTCGAGCCTCCCTTACAATGCGCATGAAGATTTCAAAGACTTACCGCTACTGGTGGCGGCTCTCCGCCGGATGCTTGGCCTAGTAGAGTCAACAAAGAGAAATGAATTGATGACTAATCAACACAAACATACGCACTCTATGACTCGGAGTAGTGTTCGAACTTCGGACGTAGATTCTATCCGACAACAGTGATGTATGATGGTCCCATCAACTTCAATGCTTGTCTACTGGTTTCAGAGATCCTTGTAAACATATTTGCAGAGGTCAACGAGCGCGACGAAGAGGAGGCAGCTAGGACTTTGGCCGCCCTCTGTCGCACATGCCGCGCATTTCGGGAGCCTGCGATGAAAGTCCTCTGGGCACACCTGGGAACTCTAGTCCCTTTAATCAGATGTATCCCTTGTGTCAAGATTGTCAAGAGTAAAGGAAAAATACAGGATGATCTCCCAACTTTGGTGAGCGCCTCCAAAGTTCACTGACCTTGCTGGGCGTCATCTGAGTATTGCCCGCAGGTCCTTGAAAGAGAGATGTCCTCTACAGACTGGGAGATATTCCTTTCACACTCGCATCTTGTTCTTTAGCGCATGTACATATATGCACGCGTGTAACTGTTCCGTACACCTGGAGGCTGGGACACGTTCGATGGACAGATACGTGAATGTATTTATTTCGAATATGTCCCCCAACCTGAGCAGCATCTATTGCGTAATGCGGACTCTGGCTCTTATTTGGTTCAGGCAGTGTTAGCGTATGCACATACAGTTGACTGTCTCATGATGTATAGTGTCGGGATCCTCCTCACACCTATACAATAGCTGGTACTGACAATGGTCCACCACTAAAAATACTATCTGATATCGTATTGAATAGGCATGCAGGGTCAATACATTATACTTGCATTTTCTCACTGTCCCACAGTGGGACCATCGGAACCTTGATACAGTATTGAAATTATGCACTAGTAAGGGCGTATACATTCAACTGTATATGCACGTGTGTAATTAATTACTCATCATGCTGGCAGCTGTTTTTATTGTATTTTACGCGAACCACATCACACTTTTTAATTGGACACCATGTGATCGCCTCTTCGACCTACTGGGTCTATATACGCGACCTTCCTATTTCAGTACGCACATTGCTTCGGATTTATTCCTGTTCGGTAATACACAGTTCGTTTGAAGGGGCTACACATCTGGAAACTCATGCCCGAGGCAGTACTTTTCCACGATCTTCTTGTTGTCTGTACTCTTCAGATGCTAAGCTGTGGTAAGCCATATCCATCATGATCACGCGGAGTGCTAGGTAAGCAGCAATTCATTGGCTTCGGGCTACCTGTGACGACCTGTTTAGATCGTCGGTGCATCTACATCAGAATATCACGGATCCATGATATTGAGGTCATATGCATTTCAACACGCGTGATCGCATCACAAGGTAGTTACTATGCCGTCCAAACGTTCAAGAAAGCAAAAACAGCCCGATTTACATAGTATCGGAACCTTGTGCTTACGGGACTCTATTTCTGGATGGCATACTAGTATATAAACAGGAGGCAGTCGTGCTGCTTGTGCTAGTATTCCAACACCAGGTCAACCTGTTCTAGTTGAGGCAAAGCTGTTATGGCGTTCATTGTCGCTGTCATCCTGTTTGCCACCGCTGTCCAGGCATTTCCGTCTCTCGGCGCGCGACAGGGTATTACTGCTCTGGCGACGTCTCAGATCGACCAATTCACTTCGTATACCTATTACGCTAGCGCAGGGTACTGCACAAACAAGCAGACGCTCGCATGGGATTGTGGCAGTGAGTGATCACAGGCACCTACTTGGACGTGTTGTTGTTCTCTGATGGCTGACGAATGATCTTCGAACAGCCAACTGCGATGCTAATCCGGGATTCAAACCGGTTGCCTCCGGTGGTAACGGTGACTCGGTTCAGTACTGTGAGTATCATTGAGCTAAGCGTTTTGTTGAGATGTTATTTCGATGACCGAAACAAACAGGGTTCGTCGGATATGACCCAAATTTGGATACGGTGATCGTCTCTCACCAGGGCACTAACCCCTCAAAAATGTGAGCCACCTTTTTCAGCTCCCTGAAAGTCTGTCTGTACTGATGTACGCTCGCCAGTCTGCCTCTCATCACGGATGGCGACTTCTTTTTGACCGCCCTAGATTCGACATTATTTCCGGGTATCAACTCAGATATTAAAGTTCACAGTGGCTTCAAAGGCGCTCAAGCCAGGTGTGTACATAGATCTGCATCATTGGCTGTACTAGCACTGAGTTCGTGATTCCACAAAGTACTGCCACTGATGTCCTTGCCGCCGTTGAATCCGCCATGTCCACCTACCGCACCACGTCGGTTACTATGGTCGGTCACTCTCTTGGTATGCTGTATTCTCGTGCTGTATTTGGCCTTGTATTTATTAAATATTCACAGGCGCTGCGATCACCCTACTTGATTCTGTATATCTTCCCCTCTGGCTTCCTGCGGGAACGACTTTCCGCACCATTGGTTATGGCCTTCCTCGTGTACGATACCCCCGGGGTCTCATTACCGCTCAGCTAATATATATAATTCTTCTCAAATAGGTTGGGAATCAAGCATTTGCCAATTATGTCGACGCAAATCTTCATCTCACGCACATCAATAATGAAGAGGACCCAATACCCATCTGCCCCGGTATGCTCTTAGGCTTTGTGCATCCTGCAGGCGAGGTGCACATCAAGGACTCCGGTGAATGGGCTTCTTGCCCCGGTGAGTTCATGCATCATATGGTCTGATAACGGAGTGCTAAATAATTGGTCATCAGGGCAAGACAACTCGAGCACTCAGTGCATTGTTGGTGATGTTCCCGAGATCTGGGACGGTACGTATTTGATAGTAGTACTGATTGTTTGTGTTGCTGATAGGCCGTACAGGTCACGAGTCTGACCACGATGGGCCATATAATGGTGTCGAGATGGGATGCTGAACTGGCACGACTTCACCTGAAGATACTTCCTTTGACTTTATGCATTACTTGCATTCTCGGTATTGTACTTTTATTTGGTGTCCGGAGTCCATTGGTTCATTGGAGTGCAATTTATATATCGGCACTGTACTCGATGCGATCCGATGCGCGGCCATGCGATTAGCAAATCGACCAAAATGAAATGAGTCAATTATGCGCCATGTCAAGGCCTGCGCATATGCATGAACAGCACACGACTGATTGTGCGGTCACCTGAATAGTACTGGATCAACCTAACGTTTGCTATTGTCCTCATTCGGGAGAGCACGAAGGCCCGTGGCTGTCTCACGGAAAAAGCAGGTGAGCCGTTCATTGATTTCCTCGTCAAAATCTTGATGATCTGGAGTGAAAGGCCCCTCGAGACGGCCTTCCTTATGCCCGGACACAGCCAATGTAGTAATGTACTGGTCAGAACAGAATATAAAATTAAAAATAGTGCTTTTATCACTAGCTATGCTGTGCAAGGGAAATATTGATCAACCAATCACCGTTGAACTTTGAATGTTGATTTGAACGTTCTCCGGAACCTTTAGTGGTTGAACGATGGAAATTGATAACTCATGATTTTCGAAAGGCACCGCCGTCCGGTTTGAAAAGAGGAGTTGTAAGCGTCGGTAATCAGTGTCGTAATCGAACCTAAGTGTTGAACGCGAACCGAATGAATTGAGCTCTCACGGGAAGGCAACGGACAAAAAGAGGGACGCACTCCAATATTGGGAAAGCCAAATCGTTCTCGCGTCGTCGCTGGAAATAGTAGTAGTTCATCTTTCTTTTCAATGGGACGAGGCTGCGTTCTTATCGGCAACTTCCCTAACGCCCAGCTCTTGGTGTCTAAGAACCTCGTTCTCTGGATTTAAGCGGAATGTGGTGTATGCGAACTCGCAAAGGGTCATGCAAGCGATGTGGTTTGTGGCACATCACATGGTGAGCAGTGACTCGAGGGGTGTTGGCGGCAAGACCACATGATAGTGGCGAGAGGAGAAGGAACACTCCACGAATACGCAAGTATGTCGATATTGAGGCTTGCCAAAACTGATGACCGTTGAAGTGGCCTCTGCCGACTGGTACTAGTTTCAAGTTTCAACTAATGTCGGTTCATTCATGACGAGACGGTGAGGGTCCAGGCGACGAACGTTCTAGCAATTACCAATGGTACTGGAGCAAATACTTCATTCTTATGTATTCAGCTTTCAATCATTAATAAGTAATATTAGATCCTCACAAGACTTAGCCTAGCAGTTATTTGACATCTCCCTCGCGACCTGAAGCTGAATTGCTTGGATATGACAAAGGAGGAGAAAGAGAGCACCATCCGCGTCGTTGCAGCTCGGAACAGGTGTGTTCGATTGTGCCGGAACCGAGCTGTATATGCGAGCGCTTGAGCAGCTGCTGACGCCGCTTTCCTCTACCGATCGAAGAGCTCGGCTTGCGGAGCAAGGTGACCTGATCCAATGAAACCATCGCGTTCACTCGAAGACATTACTATGTGGAGAACCGGAGGGAACGAGCAAGCTGTCAGGGATTTGGGATATGCGGGGAGCAGTACCAAACGAGATGAACGAGGATAGTGCGCTTTATGTCGTTTGAACAACAGTTATGTTGGTCACGTGGAATGGCAGGAGGGCACCAGACGGCGGGAGGGCGCAAGAAAGCGAGCGGCGGGTAGGATGAGACGGAAAGGATGTCGATGTCAACAAGCGAAGGGGATGCATTAGCATGAAAAGCAAAGGGTGCTACAATTGCAGCAATGATGCATCGATGGAGCGCTACAGCCAGTAAGTTACAGTATTTGATGCATCAATATGGCACGAACCTATGAGCTTGGGATGGTGAACCAGCGCCGGACGATAAAAATGATGAGTACAAGGAGGAATGAGACGAATCAGGGTCATGGGTGGGATCACTGGGATGGTGGACTAGCACAGGACAGTGAACCAGTGCCGGCCGTGGGACGATGAATGAGTGTACCAGTACCAGACGGTGGACGGCAAGCTTCTACGTCAGGGTTCCGGAGTCGGAGTCTAGGTCTTACGATTAGCTTCATGATCAGTACTAATAAATAAAGCACACTTACTAATACGTAGTAGTACCTACACATACCTTTGAATTAGACTCCTCGACATCTCCAGAAATCTGACGGCCGAATAGTATGTTGAATGTTCAGTACTGTTGTTGCGAAACTTACCTGTCAATGTTTCCATATCTGAATGGAATGGATGGTACCAGACTCAAGTATCAATGACAGGAGCACGAAGGTAGCTGTCCTGCAGTATCTGGGCATGATGAAGGACTAAGTGAGGATTAAAATTGTGCGGTAGGTCACGGTAGGACTTCAGTAGGTACTTACTACTACTGTAGAGATACGACACTAGGTTCGTCACGTGCAGCCCGTGACGATGTCACGCTTAGTCTTACAGGTTCGAATGTCCAGGTGACCTGTGACCTTACCCAAATAGATTCGCCTGCGGATCGTAGTGCTTCGCCGCTCGCAACGCCGTTTGCAACCATCTGACATGCTGCTTCGTGATTCAAGCAACTTGCTTCAGTCTGTCATGGATTCGCCTCGCATAGCGCTGACTGGTAACGAGTGGAATTGGAGACTCTGTGGTCTTAAAGCCTGCCAGTGTAAGGCCGGGGAGAATTTCAATCTCTCATTCGCGAGCCTCGCAAGTCGAGAGGCGTTGCAATATTTACGTGATGTTCAGAAGAATGATCCAGCTGGATGGACGAGGATTGCTACTGCTCAGTACAAGACTGTCAGCGTTGACCAGGCAACAAACTCCGAGTCAGAGAACGAGGCCACTGATACTACCGGAGCCGAATCCCCCTTCGACGATGCTAGCAAGCATGACCTCGATGCCAGTGACGTGCCAATGGATGCACTCCTTGATCATATGGCTTCCGGGGGTGAACACGTCCGTTCTGACTGCCGTATCGATGCAGATGGCGGACTTCTGTGTTCAAACCACTCCGAAGTCTATGATGTGGGTGACATTACTGCCAAAGATGTGGAGAGTGGCTCGAATAGTGTTCCGAAGGTTGATTACAGGCGTGGAAAGCGTAGACGCATCGCAAATTCGATGTATGATGATTTCTGGTCCCATTAGCGCATAACCTATGTTTTTTTTCCCATATGTCACAAATTAGCTTCGTCCCACCAAAAATTCATGTGACAGTCACACCAAATAGATTCGATTCGTTAAGGGCTGTGACCTGTGACGAACCTAGTATCGTATCTCTACAGTAGTATGATCACGTGCCTTAAGATCGGCCCTTGAATTGTCTACTACGCCGGCCGGCGCCGGGAGATGTTGATCCAAAATGACATCCATGATCCATCGTCAAATTATTCGTCGTATTCCCAGACACCCGTTCTGAGCGTCGCTTCGACCTCCACGTAACGCAGCTGGCAATTTGTTGGCCCAGTATGCAAAGTATTACGCTGGGAACCCACTGGGGTTGGAGGCAACATAGTGATGTGAGTCACCCTGAAAGGTCTTCTGTCTTTAGTGCGACAGTGTCCTCAGCTAGAAAGTATCGGCCTCGTTATGAACGCTATAACTACAGATATCACATCTCAGAGGCCTGGGGGTGGCGTTCGAAGGCCCAAAGTCACGAGTCTAAACGTAGGAGACTCGAGAGTCGGTGATCCGCTCGCAGTTGCTGCGTTTCTATCGAACGTTTTCCCACGTTTATTATCAGTTGACGCGTTTAATCGTTTGGGGGGCAGGCGGAGACCTATACCTGCTGCGAAGGAGCATGAAGAGAAGTGGAAAGAAGCGGAAAAGCTTTTACCTGCATTCTCCAAAGTTCGCGCCCAGGAGCACCCTCCTGTGGGACCAAGAAGGAAGGCCTTCTTTCTCGAGGAGCTGTATCTTGCTTGAAGAAATTTTTTGTGTAATAAATAAAGATTGCGGAGTATCTATGAAGTAAAGGTATGTAATACGTGACAGTAAGCAACTATGTTCTGACTGTGGCCACCAGTGACGAGCGCCTGTTCTTTAGCGCATGTACATGTGCACGCGTGTAACTGTTCCTTACACCTGGGACACGTTCGATGAACAGATACGTGAACGTATTTATTTCGAATATGTCCCCTAATTTGAGCAGTATCTATTGCGGACTCAGGCTCTTATTTGGTTCAGGTTTTAGCGTATGCACATATATGCACGTGTGTAATTAATTACTCATCCTCATGCTGGCAGCTGTTTTTATTGTATTTTTCGCGAACCACATCACACTTTTTGATTGGACGCCATGTGATCGCCTCTTCGACCTACTGGGTCTATATACGCGACCTTCCTATTTCAGTACGCACATTGCTTCGGATCTATTCCTGTTCGGTGATGCACAGCTCGTTTGAAGGGGCTGAACATCTGCAAACTCATGCTCGAGGCAGTACTTTTCCACGATCTTGTTGTTTTCTGTACTCTTCAGATGCTAAGCTGTGGTGAGCCATATGCATCATGATCACGGGGAGTGCCAGGTGAGCAGCAATTCGTTGGCTTCGGGCTACCTGTGACGACCTGTTTAGATCGTCGGTGCATCTACATCAGAATATCACGGATCCATGACATTGAGGTCATATGCGTTTCAACACGCGTGGTCGCATCACAAGGTAGTTACTATGCCGTCCAAACGTTCAAGAAAGCAAAACACCCCGATTTACTACGGGAGCCTTGTGCTTACGGGACTCTATTTCTGGATGGTATACTACTAGTATGTATATAAACACGAGGCGTGCTACTAGTGCTAGTATTCCAACACCAGGTCAACCTGTTCTAGTCGAGGCAAAGCTGCTATGGCGTCCATTGCCGCTGTCATCCTGTTTGCCACCGCTGTCCAGGCATTTCCATCTCTCAGCACGCGACAGAGTATTACTGCTCTGGCGACGTCTCAGATCGACCAATTCACTCCGTATACCTATTACGCTAGCGCAGGGTACTGCACAAACACGCAGACGCTCGCATGGGATTGTGGCAGTGAGTGATCACAAGCACCCACTGGAACGTGTTGCATTCTGATGACTCTGATGAATGATCTTCGAACAGCCAACTGTGATGCTAATCCGGGATTCAAACCGGTTGCGTCGGGAGGTAACGGTGACTCGGTTCAGTACTGTGAGCATTATTGAGTTAAGCGTTCTGTTGAGATGTGATCTCGATGGCCGAACCAAATAGGGTTCGTCGGATATGACCCAAATTTGGATACGGTGATCGTCTCTCACCAGGGCACTAACCCCTCAGAAATGTGAGCCACGTCTTCTAGCTCCCTGAAAGTCTGTACTGATGTACGCTCGCCAGTCTGCCTCTCATCACGGATGCCGACTTCTTTTTGACCGCCCTAGATTCGACATTGTTTCCGGGTATCAGCTCAGATATTGAAGTTCACAACGGCTTCCAAGACGCTCAGGCCAGGTGTGTACATAATTCTGCATGATGGGCTGTATTGACACTGAGCTTGTTATTCCACAAAGTACTGCCACTGATGTCCTTGCCGCCGTCGAATCCGCCATGTCCACCTACGACACCACGTCGGTCACTATGGTCGGTCACTCTCTTGGTATGCTGTATTTCTCGTGCTGGATTTGGCCTTATATTTATTAAATATTCACAGGCGCTGCGATCACACTACTTGATTCTGTATATCTTCCCCTCTGGCTTCCTGCGGGAACGACATTCACCACCATTGGTTATGGCCTTCCTCGTGTACGATACCCCCGGGTCTCATCGCCGCTCAGCTAATATATATAATTCTCTCCAAACAGGTTGGGAATCAAGCATTTGCTGACTATGTCGACGCAAATCTCCATCTCACGCACATCAATAATGAAGAAGACCCAATACCTATCTGCCCCGGTATGTTCTTAGGCTTTGTGCATCCTGCAGGCGAGGTACATATCGAGGATTCCGGTGAATGGGCTTCTTGCCCCGGTGAGTTCATGTATCATATGGTCTGATGAAGGAATGCTGAATAATTGGGCATTAGGTCAAGATAACCTGAGCACTCAGTGCATTGTTGGTGATGTCTCCGAGATCTGGGATGGTACGTATTTGATACCAGTACTGATTGATTGTGTTGCTGATAGGCCGTGCAGGTGACGAGTCTGACCACGATGGGCCATATAATGGTGTCGAGATGGGATGCTGAACTGGCACGACTTCACCTGAAGATACCCCCTTTGACTCTATGTATTACTTGCATTCTCGGTATTGTACTTTTATTTGGTGTCCGGAGTCCATTGGTTCATGGGAGTGCAATATATATATCGGCACTACATTCGATGCGATCCGACGCGCGACCATGCGGTTAGCAAATCGACCAGAATGAAATGAGCCAATTTCGCACCATGTCAAGGGTTTTCGGAAAGTGCCCATATGCATGAACACACGACTGACCGTGCGATAAATTAGGGAGTGCGAGTGCATTGGAAATCGTATGTTGGTCACCTCATTTTAATTTGAGCACGTGGGTTCCAATGAGAGGGGACATCCCCATGCCCTACATATATAGGGCTGCTCAATTCTAAGTTCGTGTTCACTTGGGAGAACTGGGTATACCAATTAAATTAAATTTTTTCAGTGCGCCTCCGTAAATTAGTCCCGACCCTAAGAAGGCTGGATGTGTCTGATCAACAACAGTTATCATATGGATATGTGATGTCATACGGGCATGCACAATATTCTGCTCCAGTAGGCAGTTACTAACCGAGGACCGGGTAGTGGAGCCTGCACACTCCACAGTTCTGAAACCAGTCCCAAGCTTATGGGCGGCTCGCAGGGAGTCGCCGACACGAGTCCCATAACGAGGGAAGAGACACGAGCTGATAGCGTACAGGTCGCTGCGGTTTCCTCCCCATTGATTCAAAGATCGTATTCTGTTCTAAGATTTGCGCTAAGCGGTCAAAAGTTGCACGACCAACACTGCCAGAGCACGGGCATGTTAAGAAGATCGAAAACGAAACACACTCACTGATGTTCATTACAAAGGTCCCGATAAGGCCCACTCGATGATATATTAAAGAATTAGTTGCACTTCCGAGTCCGACACAGGCCGTAGGGACCACCGGACATGGATACAATCAGTGAGAGAGTACAAAGGCCCGTGGCTGTCTCACGGAAAAAGCGGGTAAGCCGTTCATTGATTTCCTCGTGAAAATCTTGATGATCTGGAGTGAAAAGCCCCTCGAGACGGCCTTCCTTATGCCTGGACACAGCCAATGTAGTGATGTACTGGTCAGAACAGAATATAGAATTGAAATCTTGTTTTCATCACTGTGCAAGGAGAATATTGATCAACCAATCACCGTTGCGACTTTGAACGTTGAATGTTGATTTGAAGTTTGAACGTTCTCCAGAACTTTGAGTGACGCGTTGAACGATGGGAACTGATAACGCGTGATTTTCGAAAGGCACCGTCGTCCGGTTGAAAATGAGGAGTTGTAAGCGTCGGTAATTAGTGTCGTAATTGAACCCAAGTGAACGCGAACCGAATATTGAATTGAGCTCTCACTGGAAAGAAACGGACAAAAAAAATGAGGGACAAAGTTCCCCGACTCGCTTGAGTGGTGGAATGATCACGTGCCTTAAGAACTTTGAATTGTCTACTACGCCGGGAGATGTAACAATTGCAATATTCCTTGATCCAAAATGACATCCATCGTCAAATTATTCGTCATATCCCCAGACACCCGTTCTGAGCGTCGTTTCGACCTCCACGTGACGATCGAGCAGCTCAAGGTTGCGTAGTCTACCATAACACATCTTGCAGGACACTAAAGACAACCCCGCATATCATCGTGATTCGTGCACCACCCAATATCTAGGCGAAACTAGAGCTCATCACAGGCATCCCCGTTCAGAATCAGAAAATATCGTTGCACAATGGCGATGACGATTCTCAGGTCGTCGCGCAGCTGGATGATGATGCTAAGCCGCTTGGGTACTACGGTGTTCGGGATTTCCAGACGATGAAGGTATTTTCTGTTCGAATTTTCACAAAGCAGTCGTTCATGCATATGTTGGCGTCGTTTGTTGTAGGTCGTGGATACGAACCCTTCGACGTCGTTTACGGGTCAACTCTCCGATGTATCGCAAGTAGAGAAGTTCGAGCTCAGCGACGACGCATACGCACAACGAACTGGTGATCAATCAGTCATTCCTTATTATCCACTACTAGTTCTAATTCCCTTCATTTCAAAGACTCCGTGTTGGCTTACAAGCAAAGACATAAAGTAGGGCGCTTTGCGCCCCCTTCAACAGAACCTACTCCTGAACCTACGGTAAACATCCCCATCGGATCACGCTGCGAGGTAGAATCAACAGAACCGGGCTTGAATAAGCGTGGTGCAGTTCGGTTTTTTGGTCAGACTGAGTTTGCTGCTGGACTTTGGGTCGGTGTCGAGTATGATGAGCCAATAGGCAAGAATGATGGGTCGTAAGTTTGAACCCTCGTATTATTTGCTGACACTCATTTGGATATCTAGTCTCAAAGGGGTGCAGTATTTTACATGTCGTCCGAACTATGGAGTGTTCGTACGCCCTCCAAAAGTCACAGTCGGTGACTTCCCTGTGGAAGAGATCGATTTTGATGACGAAGAAATCTGATGGGGTGTTGACGTACTCGTTGTAATATATCCGCCCAGTATTCACAGTTGTTGCAGATCCATGATTAGGACCTTAAGGTGTATTGAAACCTTCACCCTACCCCAATGCCTCGGACCGGCCAGCCTTGGCAGCAAAACGCACTGTCCCCTGGTTCTCGGGACTCTATATTTAATCTAACAATACAGTTGCTTTTCACCGTAGCTAGTCGGTTATCACGTCCGTCCACTTTAATCAACGATACTGAGCTCCCTCAAGCGTGTCTTTGCAAATTCGTCCTTATAAGTGTTCCATATCCTGTATTGAACACAACTAAGCTCGACACGGACAATGAAGGGGGGATGGAATACCCACCTGGTCAATTCCTCGATATACAACCGTTGCACTCTTTCGATCTCCTCCAATGGTGGTTTTTCGCAGCGTTGAACATGAATCGGTCGGCCGACTATGCAGAAGTGAGACACCTGGCAAGCTATCAGGTTAGAAATAGCACTCACTGACTGACACAATCCGTCGTCGGTACGGCATCAGACCCAAGTTATCTGCAATGGAGATGATTCAAGGAAAGGTCACCAGTCGAGTAAGTTTGAAACTCACAATTCAGCATACCACGCCCATGAAAAAGCGGAAGCGTAAACCCAAACATGCTCTGGAATTTCTTTTGCAGAACATATATCGTGGTACCTTTCTCGTTCGGCATTTGATTATATATCTGACCAATAAACGTTGTCGACGATCCGGAGTAGCAAAAAAGTGCATCACTTACATCATTCTCGCCGAACGAGAACACAGGCACAAGGTCCGCCCTGAAGAAATGTTTCGATCACATTTTCTATCGAGCCTTGTATCAACTCACCCATGCTGGATCGCGACCTTGATAAAACCTAATCTACAATCCATTTGTCAGGCGCCAGTTTGTGATGGTCCGGTATCGGGGCTTACCTGCGCTTCAATGTTAGATCTGCCGTACCAGGTCTTGCGCTCAAGCTCTCAGCAGCGCCTCCGACTACAATAGTGATTGCCTGACCTGGGCCGCTGGAGAGAATGTTGGAGCAAGATTCTCGCGAGACACTGCTAATCCCAAGAGACATGATAACTTCGCGATATAAAGGAATGTGGAAGTTATTAGTGAGCGTGAGTAAGTGTGGCTTAATGCCTGGAAAAGCTTTGGAAAAGCCGGTGGCTGATAGAAGATATTTGAGACATTGATGTTGTGGGGAAAGTAAAACACTCGCCTTCTGTGGCGAAGGTTGCAAGCGCGCCCCTGGTGGGTTGGTTAGAAGTATGCAAGAATGCAGAAGAGAATAACATTTTACATTCCAATTATGCCTGTTTAAATCGCAAAATGAGTGATGCTTAGGACTAAAGGGGAACAAGACTACCATGAGGATGATACCCGAACACGTAGGGGCGATCGGCGGGTAGGTCGCACTCCTGTATTGAGCATCTGGTTGAATATTCCGGGCGCAAATTAGGTCAAATCACTGCCGTACCTTCAAGAGCCTAGATGGTGACGTAAACGGTTGCGTCTATAACACACCAAGAACCACACTTACGATGCGGGGTAATATTCTGCAAAATACTGCCAGATCTTCAGGGACCGGAACCACGGAGCGAGTCTGTTGCCGTATGCTGGGCTCTTGTCTATCCAGAAAATCCAGATGAGGTACATGACCAAGAACGGCCATAGCGCTGGTATGGAGCTTTGGTGTGTTCATCTCAGCGAGTAAACGGTATATCGGAGAATCGTAGCACGTACCAGAGCATTAGGAACGCAAAACAGGACGTAACTAACAACACCGACCACACGGCCACGACCATAGTCTGCAGTCTCCTCTTCCGCGGTATCTTGGTTGGCACAAAGCTGGATAGCACAAGAGGCGGAATTAAAGGCATAGAATGCCATAATACAATCAGTCAGTGACATAAACAAACTATCTGATACGCACTCGATGCTAGCATGAATTCGGGCAGCTACAGGACGCAATGGTGCACCGGTTAACTTCGTTAATCGCCCTCTAAGAGAAGATGCGGAAATAGTTCTTGAGAAGGTTGTCAGGTCATGGCCTTTGTCCATCCTGGCTAGTCCAATATTTATTGGACTCGGTGTTCAGCAGGCGACTGAATCTGCGTATAAGACTCTTGTTCTTCAGAATCAGTAGATGACGCGCGCAACTGCTTCCGTCAATCACGTGTCCGGGATTTACCCTTGCCGCTTATCAATTGGCTGGTAACATCGAACGGTCAGCCCATCGTATCGATCAAATAGACAGGCTCCATCCAACCACTCAGTACTCAGTACTCAGTCCCAATCCACTTTAGGCACCTGCTTGACGTTCAATATCCAATAGCAAGCTATTAGGTCAGAAAGTGGGGTTTCTAGGCTTGAACAACGTGAGTGGTCAGTAATATAATTACTTAATTGAATCAAAATAATTGGATGGTGGCCCGACCTCCATTCTAATGCACAATCTTGACGATGACCAGACACTGAACCTTGAAGCTGGAATAACCGTGCTCCAAGTATACCGAGGGGCCGTCGACTAGCCACTATTATGCGCATAGAGTGACATCGACTTCGCAGCCCGTGAGGGGCTCACTAGAAATCGAGTTCGTCCCGATCGCAGATTCGCTGTCTTCTGCGTCCATCACTTCATCTTATCATCTTCCTCATCTTCCTTACCCACCTCTTCCATCTCTCCCTCCTCGTCATCTGCAACACCCAGCCAGATGAACGCAGCTGCAATCGCCAGTTCCCATTCTGGAAGCACAGAACGTCACTCTTGTGTTCCGACCTTATAATCTTGTGGTCTCTGCTCCTCCACCTTCTATCGATGCTGCTCACTCGAGCGCGGATAATGTGGTAACGACGACGATTACTACGACGGTTGTCTATACCGCTACTGCAACTCCGTCTTCATATTCATCATCCGCTGCTGGAAGCCCTATGGCCGATATTGCTGCGCTTACCATGACATCTTCATCATGCTCGTCAATGTCAGTAGCATGCAGTTCGACATCGACATCGACATCGACTTTGACACCCTCTCCTGCTGTCCACGCTGCTGCTGCAGCTTCAAGCACGGGGTCGTCTTCTTTGCAAGCAACTTCTACGGGCTCCGCTACCATCCAAGCTGCATCGTCATCGATACCACCCTCTCCCCCTGTCCATGCTGCCATTATCGCCTCAAGTCTAGGGTCATCATCTTCTCAGGCAACCTCCCCGGACTCGGCGACTAGCACCCAAGCTACATCACCACCATCGATACCGCCCTCCCCATCTGTTCACGCTGCCATCGTCGCTTCAAGCCCGGGGCTGTCGCCGTCTCAGTCAACCCCCACGGGCTCGTTGAGCACCATTCAAGTAACATCATCATCGATGGGGCCCTCTCCATCTGTCCACGCTGCTATCATCGCTTCAAACCCAGTATCGTCATCTTCTGAAGCAATCTCCATGGGCTCGGCGACTACCAGTCAAGCGGCATCGACTTCGCAGCCCGTGAGGGGCTCACTAGAAATCGAGTTCGTCCCGATTGCAGATCCACCGTCTTCTACGTCCATCACTTCATCTTCCCTGCCATCATCTTCCTCATCTTCCTCACCCACCTCTTCCATCTCTCCCTCCTCGTCATCTGCAACACCCAGCCAGATGAACGCAGCTGCAATCGGAAGCCTTGTTCATCTGCCCTAACCGCAACTCGATCAGAAAGGTCTCTCGTAACGCACAAGCAAGTAAAATTCGTGGATGACAAACACCTGACTGTAGTACATGTTATCACAGTCTGTGCCTAAAAACTACATATAACACCAATGACGTCTGTAAACTTTGTATTTACGAGCCGGAAACACTTTAAGAGAAGGAATGAGAGCAATATATTCCGCTGCCTGCTTGTCGAATTTTGAGGTCCCCGCACCAAAGTGCAGGACCTCCAGAGGACACTTTGACCGTGCTAAAAATGCTTTAAACTCCTCGTGAGGCCACTCAAGCTGTATCCCTTCATTGGCAATAAAATTGCGCAAGTTGAGGAGTGACAGGGCATCAAGCATGTAGGGGAGTGATGCGAGCGATTCAGAAGAACTAATATGCAAGAGTTGAAGCTTCTCGTGCGTACATAGCTTTACCGGTAAGGGGGGTTCAGGGTGCATGTCCATTATGAAAATCTTGACTGAGGAGAGGTTGGGAGCCTGCTGCAGCAATACGACGAGTACATTTTTTTGGCAAACACAGATATCAACATCTGTGAGGTGGGTCCATCTGAAATTCTTGAAGGGATCGAAGTCGGCCGAGTAGAATGATGGTTCACTACTGACTCTGAGACTGCGCAGGGTGAATGAGTGGTTCAAGATAGATCGTGCAATAGTACTCCTCTCCAATTGAGAGTAGTTGGTCAGCCCATCTATGGTAAGCACCTGAAGTGCTGGGAGGTCGTTTAACAGAAGTTCATGGGTGGCGGCGCAGCAAACGATACGAAGAGACGAAATTTGATTCGTGTAATGTTGAAGAAGGCCGATCAAGGGATTTGAAAAACACATGACTTCCAACGACAGGGGAAGTCCTTGCGATCGCTTGAGCCATGTGTCATAGCAGAAGGATTCCTTCTTCCTGTGCCTGCAGCGGGAGCTCCTAAACCCACCAAACAGTCTGCACCATAAACCTGGCGTTCCCACAGCAACTTCCCGCCATCTTCTGCATATCCTGGGCAACAGCATAGGAGATCGTAGCTTTTATGGGCGCAAATAGAATGGTGGAAGTGTGTGCATGAAAATTTCGGATAAGAGTTCGGCTGGTAAGCTAATGGCAGCCGGTCCAGGTTCCTTGTGTAAGTTCATGGGTTGAATGGACATGGTTACCTACAACTAGACACTCACGATGTTTTGTTTGTTCGCCGGCGCTTTCTGACCCAACTTAGTGAGACGAGCGATGTGGCAAAGAAGTGACGCTATGGATGAATGGTGAACCATTATCGTCTGCATATCCAGGTCAACAGTATGGGAGATTGTAGCTTTGATGGTTGCAATAACCTATCAAATGACGGGAGTGTGCTCCATGCGCACAATAGTGGCTAGTCGACGGCCCCTCTGTATAATGGGAGCACAAGCTTCAAGGTTCAGTGTCTGGTCATCATCACTGAGATGACGCATTAGAATAGAGGTCGGGCCACCATCCAATTATTTTGATGCAATTAATCACTCACGTTGTTCAAGCCTAGAAACCCCACTTTATGACCTAATAGCTTGCCATTGAAGCAGCGGGACGCTCTCTGCTACTTAATACATGGCTCGAGTGATCGTCATGGCAGTGTACCTGACCAGAAGTTCAAATTCCGCTCATTGTGAACTTAATACACCCCTATTTGCGGTTCAACATCAACTTTCAACAATGGTTAACCATTCATCCATAGCGTCACTTCTTTGCCACATCGCTCGTCTCACTAAGTTGGGTCAGAAAGCGCCGGCGAACAAACAAAACATCGTGAGTGTCTAGTTGTAGGTAACCGTGTCTCATTAATTAATCATTGTCCGACGCAGTCACAACCAATCGTATGTCTATTTTGATATATCTGATAGCGTAGTATTGACGGTAATTAGAACAAGGAACCTAGACCGGCTGCCTCTTGCTTACCAGCTGAACTCTTGTCCGAAATTTTCATGCGCACACTTCCACCATTTGATGAATTATTCCCCCCATCAAAACTACGATCTCCTATGCTATTGACAAGGATATGCAGAAGATGGCGGGAAGTCGCTGTCGGCACGCCAGGTTTATGGTGCAGACTGTTTGGTAGGTTTATGAGCTCCCACTGCAGGCACAGGAAGAAAGAATCCTTCTGCTACGACACATGGCTCAAGCGATCGCAAGGACTTCCCCTGTCGTTGGAAGTCATGTGTTTTCCAAATCCCTTGATCGGCCTTCTTCAGCATTACACGAATCAAATTTCGTCTCTTCGTATCGTTTGCTGCGCTGCCACACATGACCTTCTGTTAAACGACCTCCCAGCACTTCAGGTGCTTACCCTAGATGGGCAGATCAACTACTCTCAATCGAAGAGGAGTACTGTTGCACGATCTATCTTGAACCACTCATTCACCCTGCGCAGTCTCACAGTCACTGGTAATGAACCATCATTCTACTCGGCCGACTTCGATCCCTTCAAGAATTCCAGATGGACCCACCTCACAGATGTTAATATCTGTGTTCGTCAAAAAAATGTACTCGTCGCATTGCTGCAGCAGGCTCCCAACCTCTCCTCAGTCAAGATTTTCATAATAGACATACACCCTGAACCCCCCTTACCGGTAAAGCTATGTAAGCACGAGAAGCTTCAACTCTTGCACATTCGTTCTTTTGAACCGTTCTTATCACTCCCCTACATGTTTAATGCCCTGTCACTCCCCAACTTGCGCAATTTTATTGCCAATGAAGGGATGCAGCCTGAGTGGCCTCACGAGGAGTTTAAAGCATTTTTAGCACGGTCAAAGTGTCCTCTGGAGGTCCTGCACTTTGGTAGTGGAATGACGGAAACCCCAAGATTCGACGAGCAGGCAGCGGAATACATTGCTCTCATTCCTTCTCTTAAAGTGTTCCCGCCTCGTAAATGCATAAGATAGACCTCGTGCAAATATTTTAGCAGATGTCTTTGGTATTATATTCAGTAGTTTTCAGATTTTACTTGCTTGTGCGTTAAGAAAGGCCTTTCTGATCGAGTTGCGGTTAGAGCAGATGAACAAGGCTTCGCACAAACAGTCCCATTATTCCTCATACGCGTACTGACGTCACATCGTGCTAGCCCACCCAACTACAGCCTTAGGTTTCTGCACGACGAGACAAATGCAAGTATTCTTACGAGTTCCAAACTGTATTTGCTCTCTTGGATAGCGACAATGTAATTCATACAGCAATCTATCCATTGCATCGATATCACTACAGTCTAGATATTATTTATCTAAGTGAGCTCCCCATATAAGGTACCCACCTATTTTGTGGCTGCCGGCGCAACTGTTGTGCTAACAGAAGAACTGCTCGTGTTAGGAGTGCTCGCAGTCGAAACGCCAGAATGGGAATTGGCGATTGCTGAAGCGATTGCAGCTGCGTTCATCTGGCTGGGTGTTGCAGATGACGAGGAGGGAGAGATGGAAGAGGTGGGTGAGGAAGATGAGGAAGATGATGGCGGGGAAGATGAAGTGATGGACGTAGAAGACGGTGGATCTGCAATCGGGACGAACTCGATTTCTAGTGAGCCCCTCACGGGCTGCAAAGTCGATGCCGCTTGACTGGTAGTCGCCGAGCCCATGGAGATTGCTTCAGAAGATGACGATACTGGGTTTGAAGCGATGATAGCAGCGTGGACAGATGGAGAGGGCCCCATCGATGATGATGTTACTTGAATGGTGCTCAACGAGCCCGTGGGGGTTGATTGAGATGGCGACAGCCCCGGGCTTGAAGCGACGACAGCAGCGTGAACAGATGGAGAGGGCGGTATCGATGGTGGTGATGTAGCTTGGGTGCTAGTCGCCGAGTCCGGGGAGGTTGCCTGAGAAGATGATGACCCTGGACTTGAGGCGATAATGGCAGCATGGACAGAGGGAGAGGGCGGTATCGATGACGATGCAGCTTGGATGGTAGCGGAGGCCGTAGAAGTTGCTTGCAAAGAAGACGACCCCGTACTTGAAGCTGCTGCAGCAGCGTGGACAGCAGGAGAGGGTGTCAAAGTCGATGTCGATGTCGAACTACATGCTACTGACATTGACGAGGATGATGAAGATGTCATGGTAAGCGCAGCAATATCGGCCATAGGGCTTCCAGCAGCGGATGATGAATATGAAGACGGAGTTGCAGTAGCGGTATAGACAACCGTCGTAGTAATCGTCGTCGTTACCACATTGTCCGCGCTCGAGTCAGCAGCATCGGTAGAAGGTGGAGGAGCAGAGGCCACAAGATTAGAAGGTCGGAACACAAGAGTGACATTCTGTGCTTCCGGTGTAGACGAGGAAGTGGTGGGCTGAGGCGCAGACGTGGAGCTGGTGGTACTAGACCCGGTAGATGTCATCGTGTTGGAACCAGTGGTGGAAGAAGTCGTAGTATCCCGCTCAACAAACATCGCATGCGAGGAAGTGCTGCCGTCGCTGTTCGTCCACAACGGCTTGATGACACCAGTAGAGGGATCGTACTCGAATATCTGACTCTTGTGTGGATCCGCGGCCAATATAGTGTAGTCGACGATAGGCGCTACGCCGTTGGCATATGAGTAATCCAGGTTTTTGACGTCATTTTCGGGTTGCGACGGACGGCACATCTCCATTATCATTGGTTCAGGCCCAGATGGATTCGGGTCAAAAGTCGCGCAGTAGAGCGAGTCGAAGATATCGGTTTGAACCATGACATGCTTCGTCGCGTTTGCTATGAAGGTATTTCAGTTCGTAAATAAATAAAAATGCAGCGAAAAAATACCAGAGTCGTTAAATGAGCCATCATTAGCGTCGACCAAGTAGAACTGGGTCCCGTTGGTGCTTGACGCATTGAGAGGGAAGGAACCACTACTAGCGTAACTGCTAGTCGAGTTGGTCGACGTAGTATTAGTGGAGTTATACGTCGAAGAATCGAGGGCAAGAGATGCGAGGTGCTGGCCTTGATCTCCGCTCTGGAGGTGTGATTATAAGAACACAGAAGTGGGGGAAGAAATGCTCCATACCACAATATCAATGATTCCGGAAACAGGACAGGAAGTATCGCGACGGCCCAGCCTTCGTTTTGAAGAGCACATGGAGGCTGCTCCCCTGGAGACTAGATAGTTATTTCCACCTGTACCATGGACGAGAGCAGACGAGCGGCGAGAAAGAGGAGTAGGACGACGTGAGGGTGCATCACGCAGCGAGAAAGGTGGATGAACATCGTCACCGTGAACATGAGAAAAGCCAAGATTCAGATTTCCCGCCAGCGGGTTCGATGGGTCGGAATTGGAAAACCTGAAGAACCTCTGCAATATGGGTAGGTATCAGAAGACGTCAGTCAAAGACAAGCTAACTTACCGAGCTAGGAGTATCGATGATTGACTTTCCTTTGTCCTCAGAGTGTTTGTGGGGAACATGTCCAGTAGTCAGCCTCGGAAGTGAAAAGATAGTGCGGTGTTTATCAGCCTCATACGCAGTAGCAACCCGGTTGCCACTGGGATGGCTTGCAATATATGCAGCGTCGGCAGGGGGTGGAAGCACGATAGCGATGATCGTACAGATGCTTGTGAAAGCAACAAACTGAGATGTAAAGCGCATGACAAAAATCGTACAAGGAGAGGATGCGGTCCGGCGCAGAGTTAAGAGAAACAAGAATGATAGATAAATCTGAGGAATACGATGCCTGTCGCAAGCCTGTCGTGCAACAAATCACCAGGATCTGTGTGGTAGGAGAATGAGATGGAAAACCTAAATATTTTGAAAACATCGAGACTTTATAGCCTGCAGGAAAAGGATGCATGTGAGACACCCAACGTCACCCACCACGCAGGAAGCGCGTATGCCAAACCAGTCTGAATTGAAATCGACAGGCTTTAGCAACGGGAACCGTCAGTCGTGTTTACTACGCGGACACGTCTGGAACCATTTCATGTATTCTGAATGATCGGGACTTCCATAAACTGTTCATATAATGAATACCGTCAGTTTCAAGTTGAAATGAAGCGACGTACATGTCGCAGAACTACACATTAACTCATATTTGCGGCATGCCTAACACATAGGATTATGGCTGAGCTGTACATGCATGTGTAATGTCATACCCAGACGCCTTATTTTGGCAGGGAGGGAAGTGGAAGTTAACAAGGCCATCTGGTAGTGACACGTCCCCTTCCAAATTCTCTGCCTAGCGTCCAAATCTTATGGTGTGGGGGCGACTAGATGCGGTGACATTGCAGCCTCGACGATATGCAAGACATGAAAGAGGTACATATAGATCTAGATGTGTGCAGAACAATCATGATGTCTTCAATTTGTTGAATTCGAAGGCGGTTCTGGGTTCCGAGAGAATCTGGAATTAACTTCAATAGCAACTCCGACATCAGCAAAGGAAAGTCATTAGGGTTACTATTTAGGACGATAGATGATCCAATAGCGACCACGATGAGCACAGCGAGGCTGAAGCGCAAGCTCGGTGACCTAGGAATTGATACGTCCAGCAGAAAGGCAAACGAGAACTTCTGCCTTGTGCGTAAACTTTCTCTCATCCCCACAGCTTGCCAACTCTCCGTGACCACCACAGATCGGCACCCCGCTGCCCCCACTCGAAAAGTCAAAAGACACAGGCGAGTTCGTACCGTTATGGAAGCAAGAGGTGAGCTCTTTTAGGCGTTGTCTTGTTCCAAACTAGAGATATCTTCCAGGTGAGGGATGAGAAGGGCCGGAGAAGGTTGCATGGTGCCTTTACTGGCGGTTTCTCTGCTGGGTACTTTAATACAGTGGGCTCTAAAGAAGGTATGTCCCCCGAGAGAAAATAATACGCCCCATGTCATCTAGCATTCTACTACAGGATGGACACCGTCAACATTCATATCCTCTCGGTCCGATAGGGCCACGAACAAGAACCGCCCTTCCCGCCCAGAAGACTTCATGGACGAAGAAGATCTCACGGGAATGCGTGATGACCAAAAGCTTGTCGATGAGCATGAGCAGATGGATTTACTGGGAAGCACACAAGACGAGATAAGCAAACGTGGTGTGGGTACCGACGACAAAGAGTGTGTATTATTGAACCGCTTTATATGATGCATCGCTTACTAGACCCACCTCACCAAGCGCAATCACACTCGCACTCGAGCAGTCTCTCCTCCCAGCACCAAAGGACTCTGTAGGCGCTCGAATTCTGAAGAAGATGGGCTGGCGCATTGGCCAGGGTGTTGGCCCACGGATAACATGGCGTCAGCGTGAAATAGCATTTGGCCGTAACCCAGACGTACCTTCCGACGACATAGACGAGGAAGCGAAGAAACACTTATACGCCCCTCGAGACACACCGCTCATCATCGTTGAGAGGAAGGATAACTTTCATGGCTTGGGCTATGACCCTGGACTAGGGTTGCATGCGAGTCTTGGCGTTGCACCTGAGGCTTCCAAACAATCCAGTGGCCCACGCTTAGCTGGCGCGTATTATGTCTGCTGCTACTGCTATGTGCAATTTTCTGACTCTGACCCGTGGCGACAGGTGGTTTTGGCCTCGGCGCACTGAATGATGCAGACGACGATGACTTAGATGTTTATGATCACTCTCAGATTCATGGTAGGAATCATCATGCATACGATGCGAATGATGTGCACAATGAGGAGCATGTTCTTATGAGTGCGCGATCGCAAGGCGCACGGGATTTGGGAAAGACAGCACAACCCCAAGTAAGTCACCACCCAAGGGAAGTGAGACATTACGGTTCAACTTATGAATTCTAGAGACCTTCTACCGGGAAATTAGTGTTTCGTGATGGGAAACCGCCTTTGAACGGGTTCATCATATCTGAGAAACCCGTGGCGGAGGACCTTTGGTCAGTAGCATTTTTACGTGTATGTTGCTTATGGTGGGATATTCACAATTACCAGCTTCCCAATACCCGACGTGCCAAAAGATTGGACGCCAAACCCCAAACGCGTTTGGGAGATGGAGAAAGCCAATTCAAAAGATAAAGAGAACGCATCTATACCTCCTCCATCGCAAACTCAGTCACACGCCCAGTGGAAAAAGGGCATCTCTGCGAACCAGGTTTGACAAAATTCATCTCCTGCAGAACTCACGTGCTTACATGCTATGGACAGCGGGGAGCAGCACTCGGGGAGACACCCCTCCCTTCTGCACCCAGATCCATCTTCGAGTACATCTCCAAGAAAGACCAAGAACGCATTAAGAACATTGCTGCAAGCCGCTTCGCCCCCACTTCCACATCGGATGATCCCTCGCCAGGTCCCTCACTCCCCATGCCTCCCACGATCACACATACCGAGCCCCACGTCGCCCAAGCTGCTCTCCACGGGTTTCAGCCCTTCACGACCGATCCCACTAAGCAGGCGAGGTACACTGCCTATCTCCGTGCACACGCAAATCCTGGCTCAGGCGTAATTCCACCCGCACAGAAGCCCGAGCAGTCAGCCGAAGAGTTCGCAAAAGAGATAAACGATTATGCAAAGTCAGCTGCGTTATTCCGCCCCGTTTCTGGAGCCATGGCTGGGCGGTTTACAAGTGCTGCTGTTCTGGATCTCGGGCCAAAGATCATTGAGGGCCTGCACACGCCTGCTGCACAGCCAGAAGAGGGGGCGGACAATATGGATGTGGCGGAGGAGAAGCCGAAGGAGGAAGTCAAGGAAGAAGCTCCGAAGGTGCATGCTGCTCGACTGGGGATGTATGGTGTTATGACGCGCGAGGTGTGTACGTGGCAGCCTGCGCGGCTGCTGTGCAAGCGCTTTGGCGTCAAGGAACCGGATCTGGATGTCCCTGTCGATACCTCTGGGCCGTCAGCACCTGAGACTGCGGCGCCTGAGTTCACGGGCGCGGCGCCAGCAGACGAATTCGCGGGTGCAAGCGCGGGAGTGACGCAAGTAGAGGGTAGGGGTTCTGGGAGTAGCAAGCGCGATGTTGCGAATATTGGCATGGGGGAAGATGATGGGCAGGGGGATGATGTGCTCACGTATGAACGTCCCGGGATGGATATTTTTAAAGCAATTTTTGCGAGTGATGATGAGGAGAGTGACGAGGAGAAGGATCGCATAGATGATGTCGATGAGGTGGACGAGCCCCCTGCCGTTTCTGCGCCAGCTGGGCCATCTAAACCAGGTCCAGATGTCAAGCCACCACCATCGAATGGTATCGTGGAAGATGTTGATCTGGCTACGTTCAAGCCTACCTTCATACCCCGGGGATCCAAACCGAAAGACACGGAGAAGAAGGAAAAGAAAAAGAAAAAACAGAAGAGCTCCAAGGGTGGCATTCTTGTTTCCTTTGATGTAGAAGAGGATGGCGGGGACTCATCGCTCACAGCCGCGCGTCAAAAACACCGAGATCGGGATAGTGAGAGGCCGAGGAAGAAGAAACGGAAGGATCGAGAGGGGGGTGGGGGTGAGGATATGTGGGTTGAAAAGCCTGCGCCAGACATCGTGAAGGCCCTGCCCGTCAATCTGTCCCTTGATAGTGAGGACAGTCAGGTTAGTGGACAGGGAAGCGGACCTCCTCGTGTTCGTAAGAGGGCAATCGATTTTATGTAACGCTATATGCCGCTACTAGGTTATTTGCACTATATACAGGTTTAAAGTTAGCGTTAATTTTGGTAGGTTCTCGTGACCATTTTATCAGGCACTGTGACTATCATGAACGTGCGGGTAACAACGCAAGCGTGAGGATTTGACGTTTTTATTGTGTTTTCCTGTCCCGAATGCAAGTCCTTCTCGCACCTCTTTTTGACTACGGCAATAGGACACACTGACTTACTTATGACCATCCAGATCCCACGGGTGCGTGCTGTCTACAAGTATTCGCTGCCTCGGAGTCGTCGCTTTGCAAAGTCAGCAGGTGTCGTTGTGAGATCAACAAAGTTGGTATGAGATGCTGCAGGCATTTAATGATCAGATTGTAGACACTTTGTGACGGAAGAGATCATTATCAGCTTCAAACCAGTGACCACGCTATCTTCCTGATTCCTGCCAGTGAATCTTCGAACGTTTCGACCTGTGCAACAAACAACATGCAGAGCCAGAAAATTGACCCAAAAGTCGATTTCTTCTCATTCTCTGACATGATTGGCGTACTGCAGAACATCGTAAGACCTTGGTTTCATGGGCACTTGTGTCTGAACGTAACAATAATTACTAACATTGATAGGTTCCGAGCAGCTCCTACGAACCATCATGATCAAGCCCTTCACGCACGCCAAACGTCAATCCTTGCGCGTCGCTCACTACCTCGGGAGCACAATAAATTCAGCTGGCCTGTTTGTTGCTCTATCTTGAGGCTCGCTACATACAGCCATTGCAAAAATCCACCTTGTTCGACTCTCTGTCATCCCCCAATTTACTTCAGCTTGAAGCTCGCTATGTATGGCCTCATGTGGAAGCGACCACATTCCTGGCATGGTCAAATTGTCCCCTGGAGAATTAGTTTTTGGCACTGGAGTAATGATGACAGATGAACAACGAGCAATATGCATTGCCTGTATTCCTTCCCTCGAAGTATTCGTGGATCCCATGTGTTATGGTCGCGATTACTACATGTGATGATATTGGGCCACAGGGACTTATAATCACTTTGCGCAACTACCACCTTGTAACAATGTAAGCTATCTCTCTTCGCGGCTTCAAATAAATGAATGTGTCTATGACAGGACCAGCCTTATTCGGGTAGCCAACCAATGATCCAGAGTCACCATCCGTTCTCTATCAGTACCAACTCGTACATTGTTCACATAGACAACATTGTCTCGTTGTTCCTGTAATTCCAGTGATTACTCTGCACCTGATATGTATCCTAGTAGGAGGTAAGAGAATAAAGGCGTTGCTGCCGATGATGCAGTGGCGATATGACTCGGACAGCGGACAAAGGGAAGCCTTTTGGCTAGCCTTTGATCCAGCATGCAAGGTACGTAGTGATTTCAACGAGTGTGATTGTGTAAAGTGGCTCCATGCCTTTCACTGGAGCGAAATATTGTGATTGCCCCCTTTCACAGGCACTACTGTGGCGGCAGGTGTTGTCACCTAGCCAGACGTTTATAAACAGTGAAGTTATCGTGGAATGATGTATTTTCATCTTCCTCGAACATTACAACCTGCCCCGCATCACATTGTCAACAGCATGCAGACAGTCGACAACTCAGAAGTCAATTTCCCTTCGTTGCCTGCAGATATCAATGATGAGCTACGGAACATTGTACATGATGTTGTAAGTGCCAGTTTTATAAGCAATCGGGTTTGAATGTAATGAAAAACAGCGACGCATACTCACTACCGACCGTTTACAAGTAAGTGTGCGTCAATTCCGCATGATATCTCGGAGATGTTGTTAATTGATTATGACCAGATACCAGACCTTGAAACTAAGTACTCCGGTTCCACCGACAACCGCTGGGCCTTCGAACTCGGAGACCACCAGAGCATTCGTGCCATTATCGCCGAACGCGAGCAGCAGTTACATGCGGTGTCGCAAGAGATATCAGGCCTGAAAACAGTGATGGATATTTTTAACAACCTTCACGAACAGCTCGTCAAAAAGAAGGACAAGATTAACCAGTCCATGGAATTGCACAAGGGATTCGTGTCACCCCTCTGGAGTCTGCCAGATGAGATCCTGTCCAACATTTTTGTTCATTGCCTTCCGAACGACAAACACCTATCGCTTGCACAAAACGAAGCTCCCGTGCTATTGACCAGAGTATGCCAAAAATGGAGGAAGGTTGCTGTGAACACTTCCGAACTATGGTACAAGCTGCACTTGAATCTCAAGAACAGGAAAAACTTGCAGCAGCAAGATAACCTGTACCACTTATGCCTGAAGCGATCAAAAGGGCGTCCGCTCTCGTTGGTAATTGATTGCTATGCACACCAGATGCTCAAGTTGAGAAAATTTCTTCGGCCCTACTATGGCCATCATATCGCGTCTATCTCTATCCCTTGTTTCCGCGGAACCCGCAAGGTGTTGGGAGAATTCCAGGCACTTCAGGAGCTGATTTTGGACAACACAACCAGCCGTACTTTGTCAACTATTGCGACATGTCTCCATGTTCTTCCTTTGACTGTGCGCAGTCTCAAGGTAACAGGGTCATTCTCCCTCGACAGGAATTTACCTCCTATCCCCGCGTTGACTCACCTGACACATCGAGGTCTCATTATGTTCCCTGAGTGTGGTCCTCCGCTTAATCCGTCCATCTTCCAACCTCTCCTCGTTGGTGATTCGCAAATATACAAGCGAGCGAATACCACCCGTCGACTCGGCCCAGGTGCTAACCCACACCGCACTCGAATCCTTACGCATCCTCGAAACCAACACGAGCGCAGCCTCCCTGCTACCTGACCTGTTCAATATTCTATCACTCCCCAATTTAGGCGCGCTTGAAGTTTCGGGTTCACAAGCATGGCCTCATGAAGAAGCAAAAGCACTCTTAACACGGTCAAACTGTCCTCTGGAAAGCCTGATTTTTGGCGCTAAGATAGTGACAACGGATGAACAGCGAGCTGAATATGTTGCCCTCATTCCTTCCTTGGTCATTTCGCATTTTGTATTATAAAATGATGATATCGAGCTTCGCGTATTGATGTAATTGCTTCATATTACCCTGTCTTTTATGCTACCAATACTAGTGTTCGTCCGGTTGCTGACGGCAAAGAAGTAGTGCCATTAACCCTTTTCGGTCTCTGAGACGTATAAACACCCTTCGGTGACGATGAGAGAAGATAATTTGAGATTCGTTTGTTATCATCTTTAACTTGGAATCTCAAGACCTTTGTGAACGACATAAATATCTTGAGGTTGGCTGTCTATATGTTGCTTGCTGGCGCTGAATAAGTCATGCTGGTTTCGCTGCACGTTTCACAATTCATAACGAGCATAGTCTATTGAAGGGTTGGCAATGAGTAGGGATAGGCTACATATAGCATAATCGTGTGAGCATAATTTCGTCAACTATGTACATAAAAACAGTCCCAGTCTATTCTAAAAACAAGGAACGCGTAGGATCTAGCACTAATTTGAGGGATGGGAAAAGAGTGACATATTCCGCTAGTTGCTGAGCCGTCGTCGTCACTCCACCGCCGAAGATCAAGCTTTCTAGGGGACATTGTGACCGTGTTATCAACGCCTTGAATTCTTTGTGAGCCCATCGTCCTATATCGCTGACTTCGACGAGGCGTAAATTCGGGAGCGTGACGTCATCGAATAGCCCAAGAAGTCCGAACAAGACCGTGTTCACAGGTAAATTGCCGGAAAGGCGCAAGGATTGAAGTTTGGTGTGCTCCAATTGTCCTGAGGTCTCGATCGCCACCATGAATACTCCAATCATCGTCAACGACGAAAGATTGGGACAAAGACGGAGCAAGCAGGGTAAGGAAACTAGTCCCACTACCAGAATCTCAAGATTTGTGAGACCGGCCCATGAGGGAGGATTGAGCCTAGTCAACACATGAAATTCAAGCCACACGTCCAATAACCTGAGACTGCGCATGTTGGGCGGTAAATGCGTGATAGAGTCCCAAATGTGCTCGAGAGCTGGTGCAGGACCAAAGCTGTCAGTGTATATAGCCAGCTCCTCGAGTCCGCCGAAGTCCGCTGCCACCAGTGGAAAGGAGCTGGCACCGGAGAATAACCCAACATGCAGTGAGGATATTTGATCGACGTATGGCTGGAGCAGGCTTCGTAGCTCTGTCCAGTTATTGTTATCACACTCGAGTGTCAGCGACAGTTGACGTCCCCGTGATCGCTTGAGGTAGGAGTTATAGCAGAAAGCTCTCTGCTGCCAGTCACCGTGCCCCATTTCCAATCGCAGCCTGCGCCATAAATTCGGCATGTTCACAGCAATCTCCCGCCATCGTCGACATACTGCAGTCAACTGCATGGGGGCTAGATCTGGCACGGGCGTCCAGTTTGCGTCTTCTGGAATGCAGTAGAGGAAAATTTGAGCGAGGATTTCCGTGGGGAGGCGCCCGATAGGCGATGAAGATCCCTTGGGAGGACCGATGGACTGCATAATCTTGGCCATCTCTTGGACGAGTTGCCAGTAACGATAGTTGACATGGTTTGGGTTTGAGGCCTCGCGCATTACTACATGCGACTGCTGAAGTGAATGTTTGTTCAGACGCCAACACCTTCAAAATCAAGTACTTACAAGGCGACTAATGGTGCCCGAGATGGCTGATGAATCGGTGTTTGATTGCATATCGACACGAAGGAGGTTGAGATGTTGAAGATGGAGGTCGGAAATGATTCTGATGTTTGGCTAACCATCGCGTCCCTATTTGAACTACAACGCTTCGCAAACCACAGGTCCACAACAAACATACCTTGCTATTGTAGTTTTTCATAGCGGGTCTTGTGTCAAACACCGACCATCCACATCCAGAGACTTTGCATTGTTGCAAAGAGTGTTAGTGTGAACGCCTGTAGAATTTGTGGAAGGGTTATCTCGCTCGCCTGCGACTTCAACATACTTAGTCGGCAATACTAGCCTAGGTCATCCGGGACCTTTTGTTTTCTTTTGTGGATTATACCTGAAGCAGCTCTGTGGAGCTGTGACCTTTATTCCGCCTTATTCAGTAGTATTGTGTTTTTAGTGCGAAGGTACTCACAAAATCAGGCTCTGAGTCTCCTCCCCACATTCCTACCGACCGTACTAGTATGCACGCACTTAAGGGCCGTGTCACTTTTCGTCAATCACGTCCCCTCCACTACATTCTTGAATCTTAATAATGGCGCACCTGAATTCAAACAGAGTCACACTCAAGAGGTGGGGGAAATAAGAGTTCATGACATACACCTGGCGTAACTTTGGACGGGCCCCCCTAGTGTACCGTGGATAACCATCGAGTTATCCACCCACGTGGATATCCACCTAGTTATCCACGTGGATAACTAGGTGGATAACTCAAGGCCGAAATCAATAGGGTGGATTATGTGAATAACTCAAAAAACAGTGTACGTGCCCAGGGTTACATTAAATAACATTAAATACACTTAAAAAGCAAACACTACAAGTCCGCATTGCAAGCCAACTTATTTTGGCAAAACTTTAAATTCGCGCAATATCAAGCACCTGAGTGACATAAGATCCGACCTTTATATAGCTTGGTGCCCAATTTGGCCTCCGAGGGTTATAACCCTCGAATCCATTTCTCCGCTACACCAGTAATACCACCAGCGTTACCTCAATACTTTAGTAGCTCGTACTACTAGATACTCTGAGGATTAGATAGCAATAGATAACTAGTGCTGCCGCGGTCCGGTCCAGAACCATGGTTCTTGCGCCAGCCAGAACCGGACCGGAAAATGGTTCTCGGTTCTAGATCTTCCCAAACAGTCCAGTTCTGGTTCGGCCTTCCCGAACCATTCCGAACCCTTATCGACTTCGACTTTGACAACACCTGCCTCGACGTCAGACTGTCATCTTCGGGATTCACATTGTTGATTAATCAAGCTACATTTAGCCTTTTTGAAGGTATACTGGTAAGCACTAACTAATTAAACTCTCAAGTCTCTCACCCGCTCACCTCTATAACAGGAAGTTCTATTCATTGAGGACCGGCTACAACACTGCGCAAGATTACCTTTTACTGGAGGTGGATATGTTAGGCGCGGTCAAGGTGGATTTTGGAGGGATTGTGTCTTGCGCTATGCTGCAGAGGTGCATATTTGTGCTCTGAATGCTGATGGCTCCCTCGAGGGCCAGCACCCATCGCTACCAGCGCACAACCCATCACACGCCACGCCACCTGCACCTATGTTGATGCCCGCCACCTCACTGCATCCCCTCTCACTCGCTTGCTGTTCTTGCTGGCTGGCTTTTGCTGGCTTGCTCGCCGTGTCTCACTCGCCCACTGTCTCTCACCCTCTGTCTCTCGCCCGTTGTCTCTCACCCCACTGGACGCGACCCAATCTTTCAATATGATGAGAGTTTTTGGAGGTACGTTTTATTTGAGTTGTGATGACGCGATGTTGAACGATCACCTTGCACTACAGGCTTTGCGCATCGCGCGATTGAGGACATCATTTGGAAGAACTACCATCATTTTCGTCCTCTCACCTTTGGGTTTGACGCTTGTGCTTCAGGGCTATCGCAAATGATCCTGAAGTCTTCCCCAAACCACACAGGTTTAATCCTCAGCGTTGGATTGATGATGCAGGTCGCGCGCGATGATCTCCGGTTGATCTCCGGTTTTTCACTTTTGGCTTTGGCCGTCGGTGAGTAGTATCGTTCATCTCTCGACCATTTCTTACGCCTTACTTGAAAATGTCAGAGTGTGTCCTCGCGAATTGGTCAGTCTTCATCAATATGGCTCTCATCATGTGGGCTTTCCACTTTTCGGAGAATCCTGCGGCCGCCAGCATCACAATTTTTTCTGAAGCGCCGGCCACGTCAGCATCTTCAGCAGCTACAGAGGCAGAGGGGTATGGAGTTGTCATTAGAGTAGCTACTCGATGTGTAAACTAGTATTTCAATGTTTTGTTTTTCGCGCTTGCCACTGAAAATTTTCGGGTTCGGTTTGAGTTCGGACCAGAAAAAAACCGAACCGGACCACAGAGAACCGTTCTCTGTGGTCTGGTTCGGGGTTCGAAGATTTTGCAGAACCGGACCATGGTCTGGTTCTCGGTTCTCGTCCAGGACCCTCTGAACCGGACCGAACCGGACCACGGCAGCACTATAGATAACAATATTTAGATAATCTCCCTGATAACGATTACTTAGATAACCTTAGATAATCAGACCCACAAACGAATCCCGTGACTCATGG